GACCAACCCTTCCTAGAAAAGTCCTTGCTGGGAGCTTAGATAAGGTTGTCATACCAAGTAGCAGCAGAAAACAGATCTGATGTTCTACCAGGGAGATAGGATAGGGTTTTGGAATGAGAGACTTGGGAAGGAAAATAAAGAAAGGACCTTTGTAAGAAAGATTGGGATTATACAACAGTATTGCTTTGCTTCTCCTTAGATAATAAAGACTCCTCTCACAACTACACAAAAGTAGTTTGTAAGGAGGCGTTGGCATTCATCACGGTACAGTATTGATTTCTAGAAAGTTTGATGGTTTTGAAACTATATATCTGGGCTAGAATACATGGAACACAATTTGTAGGGAATATGAGTTTTGAGAAGTAAAAAGATGATTCCATTTAAATTCCTCTCAGGATCAGCACTACTTCCAGCATGAACTTTGTGTCTTTAGATCATTAGAATGGGAGCCAGATGGGTGATTTTTCTGTTCTTTAAGGGTAAGCAATATTTTATCAGAAACCACTTCATTGACAATTGAGGGAGCTCTGGTGGCCTCGTGGTAAGAAGCTGTAGAGGCAGAAAGTTCAAACCTACCAGCTGTTCTGAGAAAGAAGGATGGCCAATTTTCTCCTATGCAATTAACTGCCTCTGAAAACCTGCTGGAAGGCCAGCTCCAGGTTGGTTCTGACTTGATGGTACAGAACACCCAAGCCTGGGACTAAACCTAAACCAAATGTCTTTGCTTATAATGACAAATGTGATGCCTGGTGGTGAGAGGATAAGAGAAACTCAGGTGGATGCTAGGAACATGTCCAGAGAAGCCCATCTGGGTCCAGTCACCGAAATCAGGATAATCCTTGAGCACTGACATCCTCAGGACTGACAGAAGGATGAGGAAAATGGAAAACAAGAGCACTGAAAAGGATAGGGAGTTCTGTCAAATTCCCACAGGACTGGCAATGGCTTCCTCCAGCCACCAGAGGCTCTGGAGGAGGACTCAACTCTGCTCAGCTTAGACCCAAATGCACGTCATTCAAAGATTCATGGCACACACAGTTTTACAAACAGTATGGCTCACGTTGTCTTAAAACCGCCTAAAGTAGAAGGGGAGTGAAGCAGAAACTGTTTTCCTATCTGCTCTGCCAAGTATCCTGAACAGGAGTCAGCAAACAAGAGCCCTGAGTCAGGCCTGGCCTGCCACCCAGTTCTGTCAAAAAGTTTTATTAAAACACAGCAACATTCACCAGCGTCACCGTCACCACCTCTGCTAACATATCAGCGTCACCACCACCACCTCTTCTAACATATGGACGCTTCTCTCTACTGCCATCATTCAACTGCTCTGGGAGCCAGGAAGAAGAAATCTGTTTATCAGGCTCTCCAAGCCCCAGCTCAATCCTCTCAGGAAGCCTCTGTAGTAATAATCTGGCGGCGGCCATACGAGAGTGTCCTGGGTGTCACAGTAACAGAAGGGCAGAACAGTCACAGCTGAGCAGCCCTGTTCAAGTGTCCGCCAGCTATCCCCTTCCCAACACACCACACGTGGGTACACACGGCAATCCACCAGCTACACCCTTTCCTGACACACCACACGTGGGTTCACACAGCATCCAACCAAAGATCTGATCCCTCACACAAAAAGACAATGAGCTCATGACTTGTGGGGGGAGGCACTGGACCCCAGAGAAAGCTCAGCCTCTGCAGCAGTATCCCCTCTGACTCTAGAAAATGCCTCTCCCTCTGCACTGTCAATGTCTTCTCAACTTCCCAGGCAAAGCTGGAAACTTTCTGCCACACTGATGCAGACAGACGCCATGACTACTTGGGAGAGAGGAGGTGAAACACAGGAAGATGCCCCTCAAGCTGCAGAGCCCTTTCATCTCCAGCTGCCACACCCTCCAGCCCTCCAGCTGTGCATCTTCCCAAGGGCTTTGTGGACAGTTAACCAAACCACAGAGCAGCAGCTGTGATCACACCTGGGGTTTCGTTTTCAGATTTATAAACCATGGCTGGCTGATGATGCCTCCCTCTGTTCCGTTGCATGATGAGCACACAAGTCCAGGCACTGGCACGAGCCTCATCTATAGATTTCTAATCACATATAAAAAGCACTGGGGAAATCTTCCTTGGTCCATCCGTTTTCTCACGGTGACATCCACCAGCTCATCAAGTCTTATGGAAATGTCTTTTGAGATACTTCTTTCCATTTCCTATTCTGTTTCACAGCCTTGTTATTTCTTCTGTCAGAAACTGCCAACTGGCCCTTAAGCCACAGTCTTCTTCTGGGGTCAGATCCATGGCGATCTCTGTGAAGTGAAATCTGACAGCCTGGTTCCCTCACGACTGCTCAGAGCAGTGGACAATAAGTGTGGGGTCAGCACCAAGCTGAAGGCCCAGCACGCCTGTTGACTGACGAGGCAAGTCCTTCGACTGCTCCAGGTATGCCTGTCACATTGCAGACTAGAAATAATGCTGCCTCTATCTCACTTGCATTAATAAGGAAATGGCTGTGGAGCACTGAGCTCTGGCTGTGGCATCCATAAGGGTGCAGCAGGTGTTTATTATGATCATGTAAACCATATATATGTATCAGGGCTGGGCCTGGCCGATTCTAACCACAGATCTCTTGAGTCTCATTTCCTACCAACCTGCAAGAAGTCTCGGGGGCAGGGGATGTTTGTATGGGTTTGTCTATCTGTGTGTGTTCACACAAATGGTTAATACTCTCAGGTGCTAACAAAAAGCTTCAAGATGCTTGGCGATCTTCTGAACTATTAGCCTTGGGGCTGACAGCACACAGTTCCTAACCACGAGGCTGGTAGACTCAGATGCTTTCAGCAAAGTTAATTTTTTTAAATTATTTTATTAATTTTAATGAACATTTACAGAAATTTTGGATTTCCATTGATTCATTGTTGTACCTTTCTCTCTACTCCCCTCCCCTGCCCCAGTTCGCTCCTCTCTTCGAAAAGCAAGAGATAAACTCCTTCGTTAGCATACACCCCCCCAACCCCCACCCCGAATGCAACCTTAATTCTGGATTCCTGTGATAATCATAATACCCTATTATATATTGCTTTTAAGCTGTTCTCTCCCTCATATGTTTCAATGCAGTATACATAATTTATCCAGTTTTTCTCAATCTTACCCCAACCCTGATGTCAGTCCCAATCTACAACAATGGAATTAGGCAGTATTCGTCTTCTTGAGACTGAGTTATCTTACTCAGCATAATGTCCTCTAGGGTCGCCCATTTTAAATAATATTGTATGAGTTCCTTGTTTTTCAATGCAGCGTAGTATTCCATTGTGTGAATATACCACAGCTTCTCTATGTATTCGTTTGTTGATGGGCACTTGGGTTGTTTACAACTCTTTGCTACTGTGAACAAAGCTGCAATAAGCATGGGTGTGCATATATCTGCTTGGATGGCAGTTATTCCCAGTATAGGGTATATTCCCAGTAGTGGAATTGCGGGGTCAAATGGTATCTCGATTTGCAACTTTTTGAGAAAATGCCACACTTTCCCCAGTGGCTGCACCATCAGCAAAGCTCTGGATTATCAGACATTACTATGTCTGAGTGCTCCTTAGAAGCAAAGGGATAAAGCTTCATCTCACATACTCTGACCATGTTGTTAGGAGAGGCTGTTCCTTGGGGAGGGACATCAGGCTTGGAAAAGTGGAGGGTCGGCAAAAATGAGGAAGACCCCCCAAAAAAAATAAAAATGAGGAAGACCCTCACCCAGGTGGACTGACACAGTGACTGCTGCAATGGGCCTGAGTGTGTCAGGAAGTGTGAGGATGACACAGGACAGGCAGGGTCAAGATCTGCGCACCTAACAACATCAGTATATTGTTTTCTCAAATCTTGATGCCGAATTCTCTTTAACAGTAAGAACAGATTCTCCTAAGGCTGAACTATGAACCTAGCCAATTATACAGTGCCTAACAATCAGCAATGAACACATGTATAATTGCTCTTCTCAGACTTACCAGGAAGGGGAGTGCGTGCACACAGCTGAGAGCTCAAACACGGCCCTCTCAGGGGACAGGACTATCCCAGAATTCATAATCTGGGGACATGATTTTCTTTATAATTATCAGCTGCCCAGAAGAAGGGAATATCTCAGATCTTGCAACCCTTCAATATCAATACAACTAAGGCTTGTTTTTATCATCAAAGAGAATTTTTCTGTGATTTGTCTAGAACTTAAATCCTACAGGGTGCAGACAACGTGAGTTACCCGAATTTCACACTGATGCTAACCCCTGCATGCTTCATGTCATGTTTAAGCACACAGACTCTGGAGCCAGACTGGATTCACACCTTGACTCGGTGGCCACTTAACTGTGTGGCCTTGCCTATGTTACTTAACCTTTCTGTGTTTCAGTTCCCCATGGCTAAAAAGAAAATAACCTTATAGGTATGAAGATTAATTGAATCAGTGTGTGTAAAACGTTTAGAACACAGTGAATACTGGATGCAGTTTTGATCCTCCCAAGACTACACCTCAGCAGTCTACAACCACACACGGCAGCCCAAGACGTGAAAATGCCAACTCCATCACCCGAGAGCAGCTTAACAAAGGCAGCTTTGCCATGAACTTGACTTTCTCTGGAGTCAGTGCTTCTAGCAGTGGCTACCAGGGAGGGAAGAGAATGGACAGCAACATAAAACTCAAGTGGGAGTGATTACTTATTTACCCATGTTTCACTTTCAGAAGCTCAAGGTGGTTTAGAAGCCCATCCGTAGGAAAATACATGGCTCTAATAACTGCTGATGGCTCATTGACAGCCACTCAGGCCCCAGAAGACCGAGACTGCTGCGAATCGAGAACACCATGGAGCTAGCGCCTCTTTTCTTGACAGAGCCCAGAAACACCCGCTCAGCCTCCCGCAAACCTGCCCATCCATCACCAGCACTGTATTTCCACAACATGCTTCCCATACTCCCTGTAACAAGAATAACTCCCTATTTCTATTTCTGTAATTCTTACAAACATCTGCCCATCTTACCTGAGTTCATTTTTATGAATTTCCATGATTTTTCTTTCCAGCTTTTGCGACTGCTTGGGGAAAATCTCAAATTCACTGATGTAATTTTCAGGATGCTCATCAGGATCGTAATCGCCGAGCTCAGCTGTGTCCAGTGAGAAAGGATAAAGAGAAAGATTAAGAACAACACAAGCAGGGGATAGGCAGTGTCTCCTTTCACCCAAAAAGTGAAGCTTGGGATAACTCAGGCCCAACCGATGGCAGTGTGTGCATGGAAAGAGCCTGATCATGCATGAGAAAGCTCATCTTCCTGTTCCGATCCAGCCATGTGTCATGGACATTTGTCTGAATGCCCTGGTAGCCTCATTTTCCACATCTATACACTGTTGTTAACGTTAGCCTCCATCAAGTCAACTCTAAGTCATGGCAACCTTGTGAGAAATGAACAAAATAGTACTGGATCCTGCATCATTCTCACATCACCAGCGTGCTGGAGTCCATTCTTGTGGCTACTGTGCCAGGTCTTGTAACGAAGAGCCTCTTTGACCTCTGATAGCCCTTTAGTCCAACCATGGTGTCCTCTCTGGTGGCTCGTCCTTCCTCACCATGTGCTCAAATATCCCGGAGTGATAGAAAGGGTGTTGACAGCAGTTTGCAGAAGCAGATCACCAGGCCTTTCTTGTTAATCTATATCCAGCTAAAACTCTCCACTTTTAGACACTGAAAACTGTCCATGATGGGTCATCCTGCTAATATTTTAAATGCCTGTAGCATAGCTTCCAGCATCATAGAAACACATAAGCCACCACCAGTACACAACCTGTCAGACCAATGCTGTCACTCAGACAGTAAAATTCTTACATCCATGTGTCTAAGTGAGGACACTACTTGCACTTGAGAAGCCAGACAGTATTTTAGTGTTTTCAAAGCTTTGTGGGACATCCAGTATCCCTCCCTCTCAGATGCCAAGAGTGTTGACTCTGGAGCTCAGCAAGCTGAAGCTGTTAACAATCTCAATCTCTTCTCCATTCATCATGGTGCTGCCAGTAGACCCAGTGGTGAAAATCTTTGTTTTCTTGAAGTTGAACTTGAATCCATATTGAAGATTATAGTCCTTGATCGTCTGCAGCAAACGCCTCATGTTCTCCTCAGTTTCGATAAGCAAGAGTGTGTCATTTCCATAATACAGGTTGTTGATGAGTCTACTTCCAATCCTGATGCTACATTCCTTCTTATAAAGCCCTACTTCCTGAATAATGCCTTCCTTCTGCACATAGGTTGAAAAGGCATGGAGACAGGACACATCGCTGATGCACTTCTTTCCTGATTTTGAACTGTGCAGTGTTTCCTTGTTCTGTTCTAACGACTGCTTCCTGGTCCAAATTTAGGTTTCATATGAGCCAGTCAAGTGTTCTGGAATTCTGATTCTTCTCAAAGTTAACCACAATTTGTGTGATCCAGAAACACCTGGAAATTTAGACAAGAAATTGCTGTGGGAACCACACTGGGTGGGCATCAAGGTGAAGGTCAATGCCTCCCCATCACAAGCTATGTTTTCATTCCTTACAGCTTCTCTGTCACCATTATCTCAGCTTAAGCATGAAGTATTCTTTTTGTAACTAAAAACCTGTAACTATTCAAGTTTTGTTTTCCATACCAAGAAAAGCACAGCGAGAAAGCATGCATTAATGCAGTCTAGGCTAGTGGACTGATACATTATTTATATAATCATATTCAAGAACTTACTGTATATCAGGCACTGTAATATTGCTAGACCCCATATCCTACACTCCTAAGATTCTATAGAGGGTGAAATACATAATAAAACCAAAACCAAATCAATAAAAGTGTTTCAGATATAATAGCTTACAAGGTAACAAAGCAAAATATTGTGATCAAGAATGATGTGCAGGTGGGGTAAGACTGAAAGGGTAATCCAGGAAGACCCCTCAGACAATGACACATCCCAACAGGGTCCTGAATATTTGTTGCTGTTATGTGTTGTGGAGATGGGTCTGACTCAGCAACCCTACATGCAACAAAACATTCTTAGAATCTCTTTTGCACTTAAAGTCACTGTTGTGACCACTATGTCAACTTATTTCATTGAAGGTCCCCCTCTTTTTCATTGACCCTGTTTTACCAAACATGACGTCTTTCTCGCGATTACAGCCCCTCCTCATAATTACATCCAAAAATTACTTCTGAGGTGTATTCTGGTTGCACTTCCTCCCAAATGGATTTGTTTGTTCTATTGGCAGTCTATGGCTGATTCAATATTCTTCACCAATTCTGGTGGCCTAGTGGCAAAAAGCTGCACTGCAATACTGAAGGCACACAGTTCAAGGCCACCAGCTGCTCCGAGGCAGAAGGATGGGCAATTTCCTCCTGTGCGATTAACTAAGTGACTGAAACTATTGAGGAATATTCTCTTGCGGTTAATCTGGTTTAGGAGTGCTGGAGTAAGCCTGGACTTTCATTGGATGATATCCTTTGCTTCCCCTATCCCCCATCCAATTTCCACAATAAATCTCACAACTGTGAGTAAAATAAAGTCGGTGAGTCAATTTGCAATGACCATTGGACCCAATGATTTAGCAGAAGTAGCTGCAGACATGTGAGGGTCATGCCAGATCTTGTAGCTATTTGTCTGGTACTGTGGGTGTTGCCCATGGTGACATTTTCCCTTTCTAGAGTTACAGACAGGCTCAGTCTTCCTTTCCTCTCATTGTCCACACTGTATTTGCTCCTTTTGTAGTTTTGAAAATATAGTTACAGAAATAGTTTGCATGTATTAAATATGCTTCTTTTTTCCCATATGTACAGACAGGTAAACTCTGGGTGTATGACTTTTTATACAAAGCCACAATATACTGATGCTTACCTTCAGCAAACAAGGACTTAATGAAAAGTCATATGACTTCATACTTCTTATCATTTACTGCGCATTCCCTATTCCCTATGTAAAAACAAGCTGATATGACAAAGTAGATCCTTATCTGCATTTCAGATTATCTGAAGGGCTGCTGAGCCACTCACTGAGCATCACAGACCCTCCTGATCTGATTTACAATGGATGAAACACAGATGCCATCACCTGTGAGGCTGCAGAGTGCCTTCCAGGCCTGTAGTCCACAGCCTGCTCTGCCTTCTCTGCAGCACCTAGCACCGTGTGTGTGGTCAGTAATAACTGCACGGAAGGATACAATGAGGCCTCTCTCACCTCCATGGCACTTCTGTGACAGGACAGAGAGCTCTGCAATAGAGACTTCTATCGGACTTGTCCTTGGAGCACTGGCTGTAATTTCCTAGTGCCTAATCTTTTTAAAATCCTGACACACTGTTGTGCTGTTTACAATTTTATTGAGTATTTTAACTAGGAACTGATACTTCCACAATGAATAAAGACATCAGTGTGTGTTATAATGAAATGTGCAAAAAAGCTGGAGTTGGAATATCCAAAGGGACGAAGGCGCTCAGCATTAAGCTGAGGGAACTAAAGAACAAATTCAAGCCTCGAGCTGCAATACTTAAGGATACTGTGAGCAGAATGCTCAATGACCCAGGAAGCATCAAATAAGATAGAAAGAGTGAGTACACAGAGTTACTGTACCAAAAAGAACTGGCTGACACAGAAGAACTTTATGGCACAACATAAGATCAAGAGTATATGGTTATGAAAGAGGAAGTTTGAGCTGCTCTCAAGGAATTGGCAAAAAACAAGACCCAAGGAATTGACGACATACCAACTAATACATTTCAACAAACAGATGCTTCCTCCTGGATGTGCTCAACAGGTTGTGCCAAGAAATCTGGAAGACAACCACTGGACAACTAACTTGAAGAGATCCACATTTGTTCCCATTCCAAAGAAAGCTGACTTAAAAGGGTGTGGAAATTATCGAACAATATGATTAATATCACATGCAAGTAAGATCCTGCTAAAAATTATCCAGAAATGACTGGAACAGCACATCAACAGAGCACTTCCAGATGTGCAGTCTGGGTTTAGGGGAAGCCATGGCACTAGGGACATTACAGTCACTGTTAGATGGATCTTGGCTGTAAGCAGAGAGTATCAGAGGAATGTCTGTGTTTCATTGATGATGGAAAGGCATTTGACTGTGTGGATCACAACAAACTAGCTAACTCTGAGAAGAATGGGAATCCCAGAACACTTGATTGTGCTTATATGAAACCTACACTTGGATGAGGAGTAAGTGTTCAGAACAGAGCAAGGAAATACTGCATGTTTCAAAATCAGGAAAGGTGATTTTGCCAGGAATGCATTCTATCTCTACTCCTTTTCAAGCTATATGCAGAACATATCATTCTGGAGGCTGGGCTCTATGAGGAGGAATGTGGCATCAAGATTTGAGGAAGACTCATCAACAAGTTGTGTTATGCAGATGACACAACCTTGTTTGTGAGAACTGAGGAGGACCTGAGGCATTTTGCTGCACAAGGTCAAGGACTGCAGCCTTCAATAAAGATTGAAACTTAACTTTAAGAACAAAAGTTCTCACCACTGGGCCGATTGGCAGCACCATGATAGACAGTTAAAAGATTGAGATTGTTAACAGCTTTAGTTTGTTTGGCTCCACAATCAACACCCTTGGTACCAGCAGCCTGGAAATCAAAAGACAAATTGCATTGGAAAAATCTACTGTTAGGGACCTATCCAGAGTACTGAAGAACAACGATGTCAGTCTGGAGACAAAAGTCAACCTGACCCAAACAATGGTCTTCACAAATACTTCACAAATATACCATGGACTGCTAAGAGAACAAATAGTTTCATCCTGGAGAGGGTGAAGCCAGGCTGCTCCTTGGAGGCAAGGATTCTAAAGCTCTGTCTGACATACTTTGGGCATGCTGCAAGGAATGATCAGTCCTTGGAGAGGGACATCATGCTTGGAAAGATGGAAGGACAGTGCAAGAAAGGAAGATCCTGGATGAGATGGATTGACTGACTCAGTGACTGAAGTAATGGAGGCTGATGTGTCAGAGATGACGAAATTGTCTCAGGATAGAGCAGGGTTGCGAGCTGTTGTACATAGGGTCGCTATGAGTCAGATTCTACTCGATGGCACATAACAACAACACCAGGTTTTAACATCCTTTTGCTTGGATGTAACAGAGGCCACTTTCCGGAACCTATACTTCACCTAGGGGCAGGTGGAAAGTTCTCTCTGCCATAAGCCAATGATTTAACGTGGTCAAATTGTTCACTATAGTTGTTGTGATGTGGCATCAAGTAAATTATGACTCATAGAGATCCTATGAACAAGAGATCTCAATGATGCCTTACCCTGCACCATGCTCATGCTCAAACCCACTGTGGTAGTCAAGATACTCAGTAAGGGTCTTCCCTTTCCCAACCTTCTACCTTTGTCAGCTTGATGTCTCTCTCCAAGTCCCCTTCAAAACATGCTTTAAGTACGTGAGAATAAGTTTAAGCATCCTTGCCTCTAAGGAGCACTCAGTTTGCACTCCCTTGAAGGCTTATTGGTTCTTTTGGCATTCCGGGGTATATTCAATACTCCACGCAAGCATGACAATTCACAGGCATCAATTGTTCAGTCTCCTTTATTCATTATCCAATTTCCAGGTGTATGAAGCAAATGAAAATACTATGGTTTGGATTCACTGCACCTTGGTCTTTAAACTGACATTCTTGCTCTTTAGCATTTTGGAGATGTCCCTGACAGGAGATTTCCTAAATGAAACACATCCTCTGATTTCAAGATAGCTGCTACCAGGGGTATTGGTTGTAAACCCATTTAAAATGAAATCCTTGGCAACTTCAATCTTTCCTCCATCTATCATGATGCTGCCAACTGAGTAAGCACAGACAAGCCTGTGCTACACTGCGTGCGAGTATTCTGTCCCTGTCAGGCACTGATAATTTGAAAAGAGCTTGGGTTCTGTAGGAAGGTGCTGTGGGGTTGGAGGAGAGAGGGAAGCCAGCTATATTGGAAAGCAGATGCTCGGCTGTGACCAGAAAGAAGTGTGAAACTGTTTGCCATGAGCAGGAAGTGAACACATGTGGGTCTGTGCTTCCTGTGCTTATTGGTAATCTGACGCTCTTCACTTTAAACCCGGATATCTATCTAAAAGGGTTGTGTCACCTCCACTAAAACACAATTCTAAGAGTGAATGTTCCCAAGGAAGGAGAGAAGTCACCCAGAGTTTACTGAAAAACCACTTGCCAGGGGACTGTGTCACAGACCATGCAGAGCACCCAAACGGCCAGTGACAGGCAGCAGGGAAATCCACACAACAAGAAGGGCTTTCTTCGGGGCAGTAAGGAAGAGTCACCCCACCACGGTGACAGAGATGACCCAGGGAAATCCTTTCAGGACTCCAGAGCCACAGGTCAGCCGGCTCCCTCAGGCATCCCCTGCCTTGCCTGTGTGTCTCTCTGTTTCTACCTGGCTGGTAGTACCTCTCTTTCTCTATACCTTCTCATTGCCTCCCAGCTTATAAACATGTCTTTAACATTCAGACCACAAAGAACAGAGCCACCTAAGTTCCCGCAGATGGCCTCTGTGGGCAGCTGCCTTCAGGTTGGCCCAGGGGAACCGGAACACCTGAGCCTGCTCTTTATGGGTGCTGGGCCCATCACCATGGCAAAGAGCCGCCCCGGATCCTCAAGACTGCCTCCCCCTCTGCTGTCCTTACAGGGGGGACCATCCTCTACCTGCCCCCACACCCACTCATACATCTGCTCCTACCTCCACTCTGCTGGGCCATGCTGGGCTTGCCCTGTGGAATCGTCACCCAGGGAGGGGTATTACCTCCCCACAAAGAGATGAAGAACTGATGCTCTAAGAGTCTAAATCATTTCCCTGAGCTAAAATAATCAGGAAATGAGGGAAGCTAGTGTGGCTGACAGAGTACACTGCAGCTTTCCTCCTCATATAAAGGCAGACAAGAAGCCCATTACCATCATGTAGGGTCCAAGGTCTGACAAGCCCTGTGTGACAGAGAAGAATTCTCCTGGGGTTTCCGGGCTGTAATCTGAACACAGGTCACGAGGCCGCTCGTCCATGGTCACACAGTGGGCTTAAACCACAGCCTTGAGGTGCAGGTGAGCACATACCAACGGCGCCACTCCACGCCTCCTTCACATCATGTTGCTAGAAAAATTGAGGAAATCACGGAAACATGCAGAGGTCTCCAGGGATGACAATCCACATTGGACACCTCTCTTCCTGGACAAGGTGGTCTCTTCACCGTGAACACAAAGCCTCACACTTGATGGTTGCTGCTCTAAGCATACACTCCCTTTCTGGGCTCTCGGTAAAAGCACCAGCCCATCCTCTTCAGAGCGGCTGTGGACCCCTCCCCTGGACTTCCTCAGGACACTGTGCCTGGGGGCGCCTAGAGCAGGGCTCTGTTGCTAAGCCACCCAGCCCTGCCAGGTCTCACAGGGCCACATGGGCAGGAAGCACACAAAGGAGCAAGCGCAAGCCAAGACCAGAAACCACCCTGGGATGCTGAACCCCAGAGTGGACGCACAGCCAGGCCACACTCACCTTGCACAATGCAGGCCCCGAGGTAGGCAGCATCCGAAAATGAGCACAGGAGTCGACCATGGAAGATATCTCTCTTAATTTGCAAATACAAAAGGTATCTGTAAAAAAAAAAAAGAAATAAAGGAGAAAGATGCACCATCAGTTTCAATCAAAAGGTGGAAGAAATGGAAGAATGGTTCACGTTCATCCTACCCAAGTCACCAGGGCTCTAGGGGGCATGTCACATTTCTCACGGAGCAGACACAAAAGCTAAAGAGGACTTCGGAGCTTAGAAGAGTAGGTGTCCACGGATGACTCTCTGTTCATGAACAGGCTCAGTTGTTGAGAGACATGAAACCAGGAATGAGGACTATCAACAGGGCCCAGCGAGGCCTGCTCCAGTGGGAACTCCTACAGTGACACCACGGACAGCACTGTCACCATATCACCGGTTCATGTCATTACTCCCAGACAATGACACCATGGCCACCACTGTCACCACATCACAGGTTTACAGCCTTGGAAATCTGATAAAGTGTCACCATGAGTATCAACTGATTTGCCAGCTGTGGTTTGGTTGTGGGTATAGCCGTGACAGAAGTCTCTGGACAGTGGGCATGGTTAAGGTTATCAATTACTGATAGAAAGGTTGGAAGTTCAAGTCTATTCAGTAGTACTTTGTAAGGAAGAACTAGTCATTTACAGCTGATGGAGTTCGCTTCTCCGCTTCTCCTCTGACACACCTGGACTTCCATGAAGCACAGGTTGATGTCACAGGTAAGGGCACAGGTGCTGTCTGTTTAGTGTTCCCTCCCTCACCTGGTGGGCAGACTTAACCACAGGCTGAGCAAGGCAAACCTGATCATGAACGGCACAGGCTGACCTACAGGACGAGGGAGGCAGAGTGGCAAGCAGCAGCTCCTCTCACAGAGGTCAGGCCCTGCGTGCACACAGCCACATCAACGTTCACACAGGACCAACCACACAGCAATTACAGAGAGCTAGAGACACTGGGTCTCTAAATGAAGTCCTTTGAATTTCAAAAGTCACAAAAATTTGGTTTTCAACGTCCTGTGACACACACAAAAAATCTAGTTTTGTGTTTGCATCCGTGTCAGCTTGTGGTTCCCTGTGTAAAACAGATGCAAACCCTGACTGATCCAGCGCTGTGCTCACAGTCTCTGTTGGGCTCATGCCCACTGTCGCAGTCACCGCATCAAACCATCTCATTGAGGGTCTTCCTCTCCTTCACTGAATGCTTTCCCGAGGACCAGCGCACTCTACAAGGCAGCCAAACTCTGAGACAAAGTCTTACCACTCTCTCTTCTCAGAAGCACCCTGCCTGACTTTCCTGGCAACACCACGACTCAAAAATGTCAGTTTTTTTTCAGTCTTCCTCGAACATTGCTGAAATGTCACACACATATGAAAATACCATGGCTTTGGCCAAGAATACCTCAGTCTGTCTTTAAACTGACATCCTTGATCTTTAGCACTTTGGAGAGGTCCTTACAACAGATTTTTCCAATGCAGTATGTTTGGTTTCTCGACTGCTATTTTTCAATCACTGTTAAATGTGATCAAAGTAAAATGAAATCACTGACAGCTTCAATCTTTCCTCCATTTATCAAGATGTTGCCTAATCTAGTGGTTGAGTTTTGTTCTCTTGATGGAGTCCACACACTGAAGGCTACGTCTTCAAGCTTCAAATCCCTCTCCTTTGTCTGCAAAGAAAGTTGTGTCATATGCGTAACACAAACTGTTGACTAGTCTTTCTCTAAATCTGATGCTATATCCTTCTTAATATAGTCCAGCTTCTAGGATTATTTGCATACAGAGTAAGTATGGCAGAAGGCACAAGTCCACCGTACACTTTTTCTGATCTTAAACCATTAAGTATCTCCTTCAAACAACTGTTTCTTGGTTTTGTGTTCAGATTCTGCATGGGCACAATTCAGTGTTGTGGAATTCTCATTCTCTTCAATATTGTCTATAATTTTCCACAGCCCACATAGTTGGATGCCTGTGCGTTGTCAATGCTGTTGAATCAACTTCAACTCACAGCAACTCTGTGAACAACAGATCTGAAGCTTGTG